GGGAACCAGAGCCAAACTAAGAAGGGGGAGGGGAACCAGAACCAGGGTAAGAAGGTAGAGGGAGCCCAGAACCAGGGTAAGAAGGGGGAAGGGAACCAGAGCCAAACTAAGAAGGGGGAGGGGAACCAGAACCAGGGCAAAAAAGCAGAGGGTACCCCAAACCAGGGAAAGAAGACAGAAGGAACCTCAAACCAGAATAAGAAAGGAGAAGGTGCCCAGAACCAGGGCAAAAAGGGAGAGGGAGCCCCCAGCCAAGGCAAAAAGACAGATTCAATTGCTAATCAGAGCACAAAGGCTGAGGGTGGCACAAACCAGGGAAAGAAAGTAGATGGAGCCCCCAATCAAGGCAAAAAGGCAGAGGGAACTCCAAACCAGGGCAGAAAGGCAGATGCAGCTGCCAGTCAGGGGAAGAAGCCGGAGCTAGCTCCTGTCCACAGTAAGAGTGCAAGTGCAGATGTAGTGCAGAGCCAGGAGGCGCCCAAGCTGGAGGCTCCTGCAAAGAAGAAGTCTGGTTCCAAGAAAAAGAGTGAGCCTGGTGAGTACTCTGCTCTTTGTGAACACGGCAGGAAAGCTGTCTTTGCCGGTATCAGTCAGCTGTAGCCACAGCAAGGCTGTGTAACAAATGTCCTCAAATCCCGTGGCTTGCAACAGCAGACATTTACTTGTACTCCTTGTCTTGCAGGCTAGCTAGAAGGTGGCTTATCGGGGCTATCTGGGCTGGGATGCTCTGCTGGAGTCTGGTTTAACTGGGTTGAGCTCCAGTGTGGCCCACATATGCTTGTTCTGGGACCCAGGCAGAGTTCTCCCAGGGTGACAGCAGAGCCACAAAGGGAGTTTTGGGCTGCACAGTGCAGCCCAGCATCCCTCTAACAGGATAAGTCCTGTGACTGAGGCTGAATTGGCTCTGTCTCTGGCAGAGGGCCTGCAAGTGTGGTGGTGGGAGGGGAGGGGAGGACGAGCCTTCCTGATGGGGCTACATCCTGGCCTCCTTGAGGCCTTCGACCTCACCTGGTGCTTGGCAGAGCTTCCAAGGAGCAGTGTGTTCCTTTGCATTCCCCGCCTCCCCCCTCAGCCTGTGTCCTGTGCATTGGACGGAGGACTGTAGAGCATTAACATGGATGGTGGCACATCAAGCATTATTCGGCTCTATCTTCAAAGTGCCTGGGATTGGACAGGGACTTTCTGTTTCAGGTTCATCACTTGATCTTTCTTTTCTTCTTTATTATTTTTTTAAAACCCTTTGAGTTTCCATTAGCTGATTGGGAAATTAATTATATTTGTCCTAACAAAAGGGATCTTTAGGCATGTGTTTGGACCTGGGCCAGGTAACATGTGGCCCCATGTTTGCTGAGTGTTCCTGTTTCACTGTCTTAACTTTCTCAGTCTCCTCCTGCCCTAGTTTTTGAGGAACCCTGTCCCATGTGACTGGTGTGTGCCTTATGGGGCATCAGGGACAAGTCTGCACTCAGATTGGCCTCTTGGGCCTCAGGCCCTGCTTCCCAAGGCTAGAGGTAGACACTCTGCCCTTCCTTTAACTTGTCCCCTGGCATCCCTGTCCCATACACAGGGATGGAGTGGGGAACTGCTAGCATCTGGTTCTCCCAGATGTGCTTCTTTCACAGCCTCCTGCATCCCATGGTCCATGTTACTCTGGATGGTTTTAGACATTTGAAATAAGATGTGAAACAAATACAATGATTGTATTGGAAGGGAAGGGGAAATTGTCCTAACTTGCAAGTAATAGAGAACTTGTAAGGAATGAGACCTAAATATGACCTGTCTCGGCCTATGCAACAGCCTGATGGAGGCAAAAGAAAAGAATATTGAACCAAAAAAGTCACTACTGATCTGGGATAAGGAAGATAAATGTTATAGATAAGTGGTAGCTGTTCCTGAGTTAACTTACTGGCCTAAAGTTATTCCAGCCAAACTGGCAGTAGGATTTTGCCTGCCAAGTGACAAAACTATCCTAAAATTAGTCCCGTCTGGGGGAAAAACAGGTAAGAGTAGTGAAACAGGTTAAGAGCATTGAAAATAGAGGACCAGGCATGGTAGCACACGCCTGTAATCCCAGCACTTGGGAGGCCGAGTCAGGAGGATCACTGCGAGTTCAAGGCCAGCCTGGGGTACATAGTGAGTTCAAGGCCAGCATGAACTACGTAGCAAGACCCTGTCTCAAAAATCCAAAATAAAAATAAAGTAAAATGTTGAAGATAGGTAAGACTATTGAGTAGCTTTTTAAAAGTGGCTTTTGGAAGGCTGGCTGGTCCTGTCTGCTGTGTGAACTCATTCCCAGCTGTTGTGACCCTGCATGAAGAACTGACCCAGCTATGTCACCCTGGGAGTGGAGACAAGGGGTGGATCCCATTGCAGAGGGAAAGACAGGTGTTGAGCGAACAGTTTGGGGCAGAGGCAGAGCGCTGGTGTTTGGGAGAACCCCACCCAGGCCCCTCCCAAACACTTCCTTCTGCGTAGATTGAACGTTTGGATGAAATAGAGGTAACTATGAAAGAAGTTGGTCTGGGTGGGCCCAGTGGTAGAAGGTTCCACTGGGAGGAAAGCCACATCACCCCCGTGGGAGTGTCAGGCCTGGAGCCAGGAGGTGTGGGAAGACTTGAGAACAGGCAGATTTTTCCACTCTTGAGTGGGTCTGAGAGTCTGGAAACATGAGAAAAGTACATCCTCGTACTTTATCTTCTTTATTTTTCATTTTCCTCAGTTTGTAATGTGTTTACAACTTTATTTTCCCTTGGTTGGTGGATGCAGGCCCCCACCCTGATTCCTGAAGATCCTGGAGGTTTTCCCTCTCCTTCCTCCCCTCTGGCAGACCTCAGATTTTGGTATGTGGGATCACTCCCTGGCGGTCTTGATAAGATAAAGAAAGATGGATCTCTTGGGGCCAGAGGTCTGGCCTGTGCCTAGGAGCCTTCCTATAACTAGCAAATAAGTTTAGAATTTTACATTACTCCGTTAAAATAAGTGTTTATTGGGGCTGGAGATTTAGCTCAGTGGTTTTGCCGCCTGCTGCGCAAGCGCAAGGACCTGAGTTCGATCCCTGGTACCCCCCCCCAAAATAAGTGTTTATGTAAGTGATTACTATGAGCAAAAAACCGTGGCTGTAATCAGAAAAGTGGTGACATTGTGAATCATGTGACCCTTCTGGAAAGCAGTGTAGCAGAATGTATCAAGAGCCATGAGGGGCTGACGGGTTTGCTCTCTTTTGGACAAACTGTACACTGTGCCTGGCAGGTCTGTGGTTAGTGGCTCTGATGTCCCTCAGGCCACTGGGGGTGGGGACCTCAATGCATTCTGCCCACCCAGGCTGGGATCAGCCACCACCAGTGAGAGTGTGCAGATTCTACAGGAACATCATGCAGAGAAGTCACAGTGGATTTTAGTTGTCAAAAGTCAGATACCAAATTCTTTTTTAAAAATTTTTCTCCAGAGAATAGTTTACTTGAAGTGCATAAGTGAAACAAATCAGTGTTATACAAAATAATGAATTTTTGAACTTTTATTTATAAAATTCCATAAACTACTAAACATAACAACAAAGAATTCCTGGCTTCCATCTTACATAACTAGAAAAATAAATTATTTTAATAGCTATCTAAATCTGCCTCTTGCTTCCAGAGAAATGAATGTATGCTATCTACATATTTTCAAACTGTCTCTAACATTTACAGAATTACAAGTAAATAGTGCTGTATTTTTTTTTTTTGGTACCGGGGATCGAACTCAGAACCTTGTGCTTGCAAGGCGGGCGGCAGAACCACTGAGCTAAATCCCCAGTCCTGAGTGCTGTATTTTTGTACAGAACTGGAAACAGTCCATTAAGAAGCTAATTTCTAGAAACTTTCTACTTGTAAGAACTGAACTTCATAAAATAAACACATTTTATAAATCTTGTAATTCAGGTAATTTAATTATGATTAATCTGTGGAAATATATAGTACAACTTTGTCAATCAGCCACAATTAAGTACAAGTATACATGGAAAGGAATTTTACTATGGGATACCAGATTCTTTAAATAACATGCCAACATGAAAGACAAAGACATTAGATTAAGTGACAAGGATATAAAAACTAACTTTAGGAAATATAAGGTCTTCCCCTAGGATCTCTAAGGATTGCAAAATCTGAAAGTTCAAGTCCCTGATATAAAATGCCTCCGTGTTTGCACATAACCTGTGCACACCCTCCTGCATGCTTTCCGTCATCTCTAGATTATTTCCATCACTGAATGTAAAGTGAGTGCTGTGTTCTTTAGGGAGTAATGACAGTGAAAGTCTGTATGTTTGGTAGAGATGCAGTTTTTAAATAGTACTGTATTTCCGATCTGCAGTGGCTTGAACCCATGGGTGGGAATCCATGCATAGAGTGGACTGTTTCACAGTGAGAAGTCCAGTTGTTCTCTGATTGTCTTTTTGTCTGCATTGTGGTAATGTTTTATCCTTCAAAAGTCAAAAAACTACCCTAAAGAAGGTGCTGGCTCTTGTGGCTGTGACATCACCCCCTGGAGTCAGAAGCACCTGTTGGAAGGTTCTCTGAGGGCCCTTGGGTGGGAATTTCAGGAGCTGTTGTAGTAGATCATTTCTGCTTAAAACGCTTCTTGTTAAATGACCTTCTGAAATCATTTTAGCTTCATAGAATTGGGGGTTGATGTGTTATCTTAAATTCTCTGTTCATTGCAAAAACATAAGGCAATCATGCACTCTCAGATGTTAACACAATCCAGGAAGCACCTAGTGGAGGGGCTGTTGAGGTGCTTCTCTTGGAGCTCAGGATGTAGGGGTGGAGCTGCAGAGCACAGAACTGAGAGGGCAAGGACCATAGTGGCACAAGCTGGGAGGGTCCCCCTAGGACTTTCAGGGCAGGTGTTGGCCTTGGGCCTGGGGGAGTTCCTGCTGTTGAGGCCGCATGATGGTCAAGCACCACAAGTCAGGCAGCCTGAAGTGTGTTCGTGAACACAGAAGGGAGTAGCAGCATGCATGGCCAGGTGTAGGGCCCAGGTGACAGCACATGTGTTCAGCTGACTTCCCATGACAGAGGGTATGGGTGAGGCTCCAAGGTATCCCTAATGTTCTTGCAGCCCCAGGTAGAAGGCTCCTTGCCTCTACAGAAAGTGGCATTGGAATTCCCTTTCCTTGTCCAGAGCTCAGTTCCTGCTGCGACCCTGCAGGAGGAAGCCCCTCCCCACCACCTGGGCAGGCATCCCCGCAGCTCCTGCAGTGGGGTTACACTGGGATGGCAGTTTGGTGTTCCTGGAATGACAGGCTATGAGGGGGCCACGGCCAGCCTAGGTGGTGATGGAGGTGAAGCGTCCAGCCTTTTCAGTAGGCCTTTGGGGCATGGGTCAGAGCCTGTGTGGCCACTGCCAAACCAGAACAGAGGAGAGTGGGTCTGGGAGTCACCCGTCCTCAGGAGCATGGTGTGCCTATCTCTGGGTAGCGCTGGGCCCATCATGGCATGTTTGTGTAGATGTACGTGAGCTACCTGCTCTCCTTGGGGCTGGGCTGTCCTTGACCAGGGA